CACTTGAATGCGATGACTTGAATATGAGACAATATTGAAAATACATTGAGTCTCGCATGGATCCGCGTTTGGACACACGAAAGGTTAAAGTCCTGCGTCACAATGATTCTCATAACGCAACCAACATTTTTTAGAGAAGTTTATTGTAATAACTTCAAATCCAACTAAACAAAAACACATTCGATACCAATAACCTACAGACACAGAAGTAAAAGCAATCAATGTTCATGCGTAACTTCAAAATAAGACGAACTCATTACGGCGGTTGAGAAAATCCTGGCAATTTCCTGCGAGGCCATCGGAGCAAAACATATAGAACTGATAAAAGAACAGATCAATTCAATTCTCAATACAAAACCGCTTTATAGGAACGGCAAAGATGAGACGGGATCGTTGTAAGGCACAATGTCGGTGATGACGTGGGTTACTGAATGGCGCGCCGCGTGCTTCTAACCTCTACCGTTGGAATACCGCTGTTTGAATTTTTTTTTTAACAAATTTATTCATTGAAATTTTACATAGGTATTGCCTTAAATCTAAACTCGCCAAACTTTGACGTTTGATGGCGAGAGACGCTCATTTTACAAACTATTTCTATTATTATAATAATAATAAATAAAAATAAAATTTTTAATAATAAAATAAGAAGAATAAAATACCTATCTTTTATAATATAATTTAGTTCGTTAATTTTGTATGTCTTATGTCCAACCGTCTTATTTAGCGGAAACCCGTAGTTCAGCGGTGAACGACAGTCAACTGAAATTTTTAGATTAGCTACTATGTATTTTAATTTACAAATGATAAACTTAAATAACATGATAATGAACAAAAACATACAACTTAAAATAAATAAAAAAAACACATAAAATAAAAACTAAAAACAATTTACAGTTCGACGTCATGTATGTCGCGGAGAATCTAACGGGTTGCCGGGGCTTCGGCTCGATGTGCAGGAGAAGGAACGGGGTGGTTTTTAGTCAGTAAGAGTCTGACACTCCCTCCCGCCTCACCCAGGCGGGAGCAGTCATTCGATGATTTTCCCTCCTTAAAAAAAAACATCATGAATGTATTTGCATTAACAGAGTATGATTTACTACATGCCTACAGTATGCGAAACAACACTCTGTACCACGAAACACAAGGCCTTAGTAATGTCGACATGGGTACCTAAACCAAAATTATTATTGCTTGCAAACATCAGAAAATAAAGGCTTAAAACTCTTAAACACAAATTTTCAATCTCTCTATAGCAAAATCAAACAAACACATTTACACACTCGATTACTAAACTCGAAGATAAATCACACATTTAAGAGGAACCGGTAGTAGGGGCCACGATAACTGTACAGGAAATAAGGGCCCACCCGGGTCTCTATACGGCCTCGGAAAACATTCGGCTTGATTGGCTGCTGGCTTACGGCAACTCGGTGACCACGGATGACTTTCACGCGTATCAGAAAATTTCGCACGCACTTTTTTGGAAGGTTCAAACGAGAATCTAGTTGAGGCAATTGATTTTATATTAAGACTGTAGGATGACATTTTAAATTATTGTTATTTAAACTGTCAAACACCAAGCGGTAACCGGTGACCGCAACCTATTGTCTATAATTGTGTCTACTAAACCGGTACTCGACGAGTTAAAGTTAAAAAGAATTTCATAATTAGGTATATTAAAGAGGATCCGCACCAATCGCAGTCATTAAAACATAAATTTA